TTAATTTTCAGCATTTGATTTGCTGTGGTGACTTTGGGCTGGCTGCCCAACATCAACATGGCTGCTGCCCTTGGCTGGTGGCCCAGCTGTTAATTATTTCCCTGCTGAAACTGCATCACCACAAAACAAATTCTGTTATAATGAGATTAAGTAAAGACCATAGAAACCTGCCCAGCATTAGAATTTTTTTTCTTGGCATCTGTTTTATGTTTTTTCCTCATATCCTCTAAACCAAGAATGAGATATAATTTAGTATTCTACCAGCTCACAAATAAGCAGGCCTTCTGTTTTCCTTGATGTAAATATAACAACATCAGCATTGAAGTAATTATCAAATTACAGACATCACCCTGCAATCCTTATAAATTCAATCTGCCAAATAAGTCAACATGTTTAAACACAAAAATGTTGAGTTATTAGGGCCAAGGTTTACAGTGTCACCATCCTTGTTTTACAGGGTATAACAGTTCTTATTTCTTTATCCCCAGCCTTGATGTCTAAAAAAGTTTTAATTAAATAGGTATTACTTACCTTTACAAGTAGGGTAATTCTTACTCACAAACCCATTTAATAAACCAGTAAACACTGGTTTATAAAGACTGGAATGAAGCATCTTGGGGTGAAAAGGCAGAGCAGGAGGAGAACATGTCTGATTAAGAATGAACAGCCTATAGGTTCACTGTTAGTATAACTGAAGGGGATACAACATGTATTTTGGTTGCTTATATCACAGCTATGTAATTATGCTAATATATGATGTTGTCATTACCCTTTAGAAAGTTGCTTTCTTCTGTTCATTTAGAAAGATCAATTGTGAAGTCTTGCTGTTGGTGATGTCATTGCGTCACTGAGCAACAGAAAAAGGGTAATTCCTTTATACTTTCACCATTTCAAAGTCTGCTCCCTTAGAGCAGCCCCTTTTTCATTATGCTACATACATGTGGAAAATTTTTCCAGCAGAATATTTTAAGGCAATAACTGCAGAGGTGTTGATGTACCCCAGAGAATGAAAACAGAGTTGAAGACATTCTTCTATATCCTGTCCTCTGCTAGATTAAACCAATTCCATTTTACCTAAGGGCAGCCTGATGTTCATTATCCTTCAGGAAGTCAGGGCTTGCTTGCCAAATATATGCTTTTGTGGTAGTTATTATGTTTCTAATATGTTTTCATAGTTTCTTGTTACACAGTTCCAGTGTATTTTTTTAAATAATCACACTATTTATCTTTTTAAACTCTATGTTTTTAAACTTCTCACTGCAATTTAATGATAAAGATTAAAAGAAGCAGCAAAGTACTGCTATTTGAGTACTTAAAATATTTTTTTTTCTCTATTACAGATCAGTGAAGTCAGTGGGTTTCATAAACTAGAACTCAAAAAGGCCATAATAATAGGTAATGGAGTAAGTCTGACTTTTTGCATTTATGCTTTAAATAAGGATTTTTATTACCTGCTCTTTACAAACTATAGCCTTTTTCCTTTATCTTTGCCCAAGGGGACTTGACTGACAGTCTGAAATTTTAATTTCAGCCCAGAGCAGAGACACAGTTTTGCATGTTTTTGTGCAGCACACACAATTCAGTTGCCAGTTGTAAACTTTTCAAGTACAACAGGGCATAAAACCCACAGCTCCAGCCACAATTCACTGTATTTTGTGCTGTACAAACAGAAAGGGAAAACTGAAAACTTACAACCTAAGCAACTAGAGTAGACAAGTGACAAAGGGACCAAAGTTCAAAGTATTAAATAACTAGTAAGGAGCAAAGGAGAAAAGCAGGTATTCAACAGTAATGCCAGCCAGCCCAGTCACCTTCCACCAGGCTCCACTGCCTAATTCAAATTGTCACACAGAAGACTCATTAGTACTTTCCTTATGTCAAAAGGAAAAAAAAAAACCAAACCACAAACATAATTTAACTATACCACTCAAAACCCAGTGGGCTGTGTTTTGTTGCAAAATCACTCATAAGGAGCCTAGCTCCTTCATGTACCTAGCCCTGGGAAAGAATATATACTACTCTTTTGCCTAAAAATTACATTGAGATACTTTAAGTACCTGGAGTTATAAATGGTCCCAGTCCATGTAGCAAATTCTACTTTCTTCTTTAATTTAACAGAGGTAAAAACCTGGCTGTAACAGTACAGAGAATACAAATGCTTATACCAGCACAAAACCATTTTCCCCATTTTTTTTTAGCTTTTGCATTCAACAGCCTATCAAAACTGACATAGCATAGCAGGCCAGAAATGTGCTGTTAATATTAATGAGGCTGTTCCCACACCTGTACTGAAGTATCAATCTGGAACCTTTTTGCTATGAAATTGGGAACTGAAGACATACGACAAAATGGGCTGCTGGAATTGTCATTATGTTTTTATTTAATAGAGGGCTATTCTCATCCACTTTCTAAACAGGCAGTGCTATTTCAATGCAAAGATCAGAAACAAGGTCATTATCAAAACCACACATACAGAATAAATATTTTTTTCCTTTGGAACATGATTGAAGTATAGGGTAAATAAAACATTATATTATTCTTGAAATTGTCCATAAACAGTTAATATCTAATCGTTTCTCCATTAAGTATTCAGATATTCAATGTATATCAGTTAAACTACTCTGGCATTGACTGGGTCTTTAGAGGAACAAGTTGTCTGGAAAAAAATATATTTCATTGAAGAACAAACCTATAGAAATTACTTTCTTAATGCTTATGCATCCTTAATTCTCTGTTCCTTAGGAAATGCTTTCTCTCCCTTCTCTTTTGGACTTAACCTACAGCAAACTGTTTTTACTTGAGCAGGGCTGGCCCTGATGGTGGCATTGCTTAGTTATTAACTGAGGGATTAAGCAGCTCTAGAAAATACTAGAGCTCTTCCACAAAGCCAACATTAGCCTATTGAGGCTAAGCTCCTGAGAAACCCCTCTCAGAGCTGCTCTTTGCTCCTATACAGGAAGGTATTCACTTCACTTGGCTAAATCTAGCACCTGTGAACATCTACACACTGTTTTTGCTAGGAGAGAATTTTGCTATAGTGAAGAAATTAATCTACATCAACAACACAGAGGCTGTGGCATCAATCATGCCCAGAGCCTTCACGCTGTTCCTATACATCTGGTTTTAGCCCAGTGGTTACTCCTTAGATTAACCTGGCACCAAGGGAGCTCACTGTATAGCACTGCATAGACCAGAAGAAAAAAATATACCTTTAGCTTAGAGATCTTAAGCTTAGGATAATGTAATAAATAGCAGTTCTTTCCTGAAACAGAGTAAGACATGGAGCTATTTCCTCTCCCTGCCACATCCCAGCATAACTCCAATGTAATAGAAGAATATAGCTGTAACTCATAATATTTAACATTAACTCAATAGAGAGAGAGAGCAAATTTTAGTTCACTACACTGGACTTTGGCTTTTTGCTAGGAAAATGAGTTGAAAAATTAGTTTCTAATAGTATTTAATGCTTTATGTCTACAAAAATAATAGAAAACACTTCAATAATGTACACTCCCACTTAAACTAACTGAGCAGCTCAGATGACGATCAGCTCCATCCTAACCTGAATGTTCTGGTTTGGTTTGGTGGGTTTTTGGTAGTGGGAGAAGGGCCACAGGACTGGATCTGGTAAGAAGATGAGAAGCTCCCCCCGCTCCAAACCCAGCCAGGGAGCCCTTAGAGGGACAATAGATGCACCTCTGCCTGTAACATACAAAAGAACTGATATAACACGTGAGCAGAGAAGGATGGGGAGAAGAGCTGAGCTGGAGGTGAAGAGCAGTGCTGGAGGAGGAGAGAAGTGATGGCGGTTAATGAGGAAGAAGGGGAAGAAGGTGCCCAAGCAGAAGTTTCCCTGCAACCCATGGCGAGATGGCAGCTGTGCCCCTGCACTCGTGGAAGAACATGGTGGAACATTCCCTGAAGGTGCCAGGAAGGGTGAACTTGGTCAGTAGACTTGGATTTTGTGGCCAGAGGATTTGCTGCCTGAGGACTCTGATTGTGAAGCTTTGGAAGACCCCAGGCCAGGGCAGTTTGTTCCTGAAGCAGCCTGTGACTCTGTGAGAAGCCCAGGCTGGAGCAGCTTCGGACCTCATGGGAAGGACTCATAAAGGAGAGGTTTGTGGAGGACTCTCTCCCATGGGAGGGACCCCGTGGGGAAGCAGGGAAGGACTGTAAGGGATCCTTCTTCCTGAGGAGGATGGTGTGGCAACAACCAACAGCCTGTGAACTGACTCTAAACCCCATCCCCTGTCTCCCTGTGCTGCTGGGGGGAAGGAGGGAGAGAAACTGGGAACAAAGTGATTTGGGCCCAGGAAGATGGGAGGGGTGGGGTAACATATGCAAGCCCTGCTCTTTGTGCTGTGTGTGTCCTGTGTGTGTTTGATTAGTGTGAAATAATATTTTATTTTTTTTTTCCCCAAGTTGAGTCTGTTTTGCCTGGGATCTTAATAATTTAAGAACCCTCCTTGTCCTTTGTCTCGACCCATGAGCTTCATCCCCCTCATCCCAGATTGTGTGTCTGTGTGTGTGGTGGGGGATGAGTTGAGTGAGAGGCCATGTGGCTGTTCCTTTGTTGTCATGTTTGGCCCAAGCCATGAAACTAAACCTTTATCCAGTCAGCCTTTGTATCTGCTTTCTGAGAATGTCTTCCCTTTCTTGTTTCTCTATTTCACATCATGCGTTATTTAGCATCTACCCTAAAACCTCACTTCTTGTAGGCGAGTAGTTAAACAACATTCTAAGTTTTCCTTTGCAAAGTTTCTAGGTCTCATACTTGAAGCAAAAGGCTTGAAAACATAAATAATATAATTTTAAAGAAAGAAAAAAAAACAAAACCCAAACAAACCTCAAAGGCACTTTAAATAAAATTCTCACAACTTTTACGACAAGCTTGTACTCTGAAGAGGAGATGCAGAACAGACATCCGACTCATGATGTCTAAGTCCTTGGGGTTCAAATGTAAGGATTCCTCTTCAGCTTCCTTTTCCTTTTTTACTTTTCTACTCCTGCACTTTGAATGAGGAACGAAGATGGCCAAATTTCTGGTAGAAATCATCTTCAGCACGGTTCAAAGCTTCCTCGTCAATGTAGACGGCTGGTCTCCGGGAAACCAAAAAGTACTGCACTTTGCGCAGGCTCCATCCCATCACGTACTTCAGCCAGCCACTGACAGCAGCTGTAGACCTGCCAACACCAGCGTTGCAATGAACATAGACAGTGTGTCCATTCTCCAGTAGCCCGTGCAAGAGGCAGACAGCTTGTGGCAACATCTGTATTCTTCCTAAGGTTAAAAACAAGGCCCGTTCATTTGCATTTAAGAAAGCTGGACTCACATTTGAGACTACATCTATACAGCCTGATGCACCTGATGCGCTCTGAATCACAACAGCAAACCTGACATAATTTCATGTTTTCTTCTTTTTCTTCTTTTTTTTTTTTCTTTTTCTAAAATTATCTTCTATCCTAACCGTTGTTTCTTCTGGCAGCAGAGTTTCCAGTCACACAAAATCTGTAAAATGTCCTAAGTCTTCTCTGAATATACATTCTGATTAACACTGAATGTGTATGGCATATTCATTTGCACAGAGACTGAGATAAGGCAGCAAATTATGTCAAACAGTACATCTTACATAGGACTAAAGCTAGTAAGCCAAAAGTGCAATATTTAATAGTACCAGAGTTTTGTGAAGCTACCTGCTTCTTTCTTTACTGCTACCTTCTATACTGCTGCTTTCCAAAACACTGTAATGAAGGCCATTATGTCAATAATAAGTGAGGGAGGGAGAGAGGAAGGGAATTTTCCTGTGCAACTTAATACTGTTATAATTTAGTTGTGTACTAAGCATATGGTTAAGCAACACAGAACAGTCTTTCTCACTCCCAAAGGGATTACTATACCATATTTCCTGATGCTTTTCCCCCTTTTTTTACCCTGGGAACTGAAGCTGCAAACACCAGAGCCTAACTTTTCCTCAAGGCACAGTCAAGCACTTACATTACGCCCTTCCAAATGCCTGTTTTAAGGTCTCCTGTCTTCACTGATGTCCTAATACTGAAATGACAGTTCTTTATTTGTGACAGCAGTATTTTACTCTATTGAAAACACTCTCCTGGTAGGCTACTCACACGAAAGCACATACACTTTCTAACTTACTGCTTGGAAATAAGATTTTGAACTGAGCATTCCAACAAAAGAATTAAAAAGAATAATTTCTGTTACAAAACGAGGAGCTGTGGGTATTCTAAATTAATTACAGATAATTCTATAAATTACTCTATTGAGAAAATTTATCCCAGTATCAGACTGGGGTACTGTAGTTGAGTAATGATCTGTTGGGGGCAGGGAATGGCAGAGATGGGCACACAGGAGTGTCTCTCCACTTTTAACCAGCAAGGAGGGCAAGCTGTTCTGCTGTGCAATCTTGCAGTCTTCCACCTACACAGCATATTTACATTATAAAGCTAAATCCAAGCTGAAAGGAAAAACAGTCAAGCAGTTTTCAATGTCAGATGGCTTTAAACTCAAATACATGCATACTGCCAGACACAAAGTACTTCAGATGGCCTCTCTGCCTACAAGAAAAGATTGTGATTTCTTAGAGAGGGCACACACAGAGAAGTTACACCTTGCATACTAGCTATATTTTTAGGCAAAATTTACACAGGGGGAAAAAAAAACCCACACAATGTCATGAAAGTGACAGATTAGCAACTCAGAGAGTTTGTTAATTTAGCTGCAAAAGTGGTCTGAGTATTACCTTCAGTGCTCATGTCTGGGGTTGGCATCCAGACATAAGCAAGACCTTCCTCTTTATACAGTTTCATGAGGATCTCGGGACTCATGGGTTCCGGGTAGCGGTTGCAACCCCAGGAATTTTGAACAATGTCTGATTCAGTCTGGAAGTTCATCACAGCCGTAACACCCAGCTCGTGCTTCAGCTTGACAGTCACATGCTCCAGCTGCCGAGGGCAACTTCCCAGCCAGATGTTTGTCAGTATTCTAGCAGTGAGAAAACATTGCAGTGGGATCAATTAAAATATCTTAACAAAGAAACTGCCAAGTTCAGTACTGTTCCAGCTCCAAACCTGCTTAGTATCACCACATGAACACCGCTAAGCACAGCCTTTTCATGTCATGCAGTAAGCAGCTTCTTGTTTCATTACAGTTGAGTTGGTAATGGGTGATGCTGTGGATCAAGTTCCTGACCTACCACAAAAAGCCAGCCTGAGATCTGAGAAAATATTCGGAGCATAATTAGTAGCACTCCAATTAGTAGGTCTCCAAGGCATCCATCATTAGGCTTACAGAAGCAGCTTACTTACATCACAGATTAGAATAAGAAAACTAAAGATTTATGCAATTTGCACACATAAAAGAGCCCTAAAAGATACACGTGATCCAGATCTGAATTAATTTAGTAATAAGTCAAGCACATAAAACACTTCCGGTTTTGTAGCTACTAACCATAATGAGGAAAATAAGCAGGAAAAAAAAACCAACAAGCCAAAGCAACAACAAGCAAACAAAAATTTTTAAAAAACCCACACAACAAACAAACAAAAAATCCTTAAGCTATCCTTCTGTGAGGAAACTAAAAAGTGAATAAGTTTATTCTCATTTTTATCTGCTCTTGTGGAGTCCAGTAGGAACAAACTGCAGAATTACAACAGATGTTTAGCTTCCCTCAACGCCCAATGAACTGGAAATTTTGCAAGAAAACTTGAGAGTTATGTGTAGGATGGATAAATATCTGTATTTCCAGTATTTATCTAAAACAAACTTCACAAACTCTATGGCTTTCCAATTGTAAATTATCATAAAACTATTGCATGTCTCAACAGATTTTGAACTGAATATTATGAAGAGGCTTGTTTTCTAATGAGGGGGTTTTACCAGCACTTGCAGTTAAACTGATGGTACCTAAATTAATTATTTATATGCACAAATTATTAGTGATCTACTTTACTTCTTTTTTGTTTGCATAAACTTCTATTTTGAACATGTAACCCACAAACTACACCAAATATACCTACAGTTGAACACACAATTTTGCAGACATTATTAACTGAAAAAAATTAAGCCAATCTACAAAAAAAGCAAGATCCAAAAAACCAAAATGTCTGCCCTGGATTTCTTATGTTCTTTTCCCATTTTAGTATCAGAGACAAATTAAAGTTTTATGAAAATTAAAGTTTTATTCAGGACCAGTTACTCATAGAAGTAGCCCTTAAATCATCACGTAGCTATTTCCATTCCACTAACACAGTAATAAGTGCTTACTAGTGTTTAATTAAGACCTGTACTTGACAATTATTAAATCCTGCAATTTTACTTCAGAAAGATTGTCAAAAACAAAAATAAAAATGCAGGAAGTACTTTTTAATGTTTCCTATATTTTGGCTGTATCCACAGTGAGTTACATGCCAGCCACACAATCACTGACTCCAGTGGTTCATTGAGACAATGAACTAGATCTCAATGTCTGGTGACTGAGGCCCAGCTTTCTGGATCACAGATAATGAATGAAAACCTGAATATCTGGACAAGTCTATCACATAGCAAATCACCATTTCAACTGTGTTGCATTGACTGTGAGATAATCTGAAGATACTTGACTTCTTTCTTGCTTCACATCCATGTTCTGGTCTAGAATGTGGTGACAGTATTTCACACTGCTAATAGAAAACACATTTGCTCCTAAGCAGGAAGCAAGCTTTAACCTAAAATTTCAGAAATTGAGATTTACCCCTTGAAGTAATTTCCTTTGTCATTTTTCTCTTGTCCCTGAACACTATCTTTCTAAAGGAGAGAAGACATGGAAATAAAAAAGTTCTAATACACAGGCTCTGGATTTCTTAAACTACAAATTAAATTAAGTTCATTTGTTAAGAAATGCCAATACCCAGTGGACTCCACTGCAACCTGAAGGAAATGCAATAAAGCACAACCATTGTGCATTACCATTTTGTCCAAACCCAAACGCTAATCCAGGCAGGGAGCTTCACAAAAATGCTCAAAATCCAGCATAACCATCTGTAGCACTCCCACTGACCAGAGGGATTAGTGAAGGTCCACTGACACACTTATTTCAGTGTCCCACTTCCCATGTGCCAGCCTCACAGCAAACCCAGTCCTAACCTGAAGGAGTCACCTCTGTCAGGCTACTGCCACAGAAATCCATTGCAATGCTTAGAGCATTTCAAGGTGGCAAATGCAAGTTAAAGTACCCTACAAATGCAGATGAATGGCTGGAGATGAGCAATGTCCACAAAATTCCACAGTGGGAAAAGAAGAATAGCAGTATCACTAAAACCTTGTGACAATATGAGGATATTCATTTGAGAACAAGAACCCTAGCATCACTCCTTCAAAGGCTTCCCTGGAGACTCATACATATGTAATTCTCTTGATATGTTGGGAAATCTAATAGAATACCATAGCTTGGCAGGAGAGCAAAAGCGTATTTTCTAGCATTTGATTGAAGCAGGAGTGACTACAGGGTTCCTGAGATAAATAAAATTCTGTGTAGTACTCTTGCTTGCAGATAAATCAATGTTTTATATTTTTCCCCCAATGATTATTTAGTGGGCAAACCACTGGGATATTCACCAGGTATTTATTCAGCTTTTGTAGCCTAAATGGTCCTGCCCATGACAAGACATATGATTCTATGACATGACCAGTTCACTCACAGTTAGTTTATCAACAAACAAATCACCTAGACTAACATCAAAGTATCCAGCTAACTTCAGAGAGTAAGACTTGTAAATTGTATAAAAGCCCTTTCTTTAAAGCTTATAAAGTTACTGCCCTACACTTCACTTCTCCATCAGTAATATGGAGATAATATTTACCTAATTTAAAGGGACTTCTGGGAATCAAATGAATAAATGACTGTGAGAAGCTTAAATTTGTGGTAACAAGGGCTAAGTGTTAGGCTGGTGTCTGCTCAATTTACTGGACTTACAGAACCTGAATAAAGGCAAAGGAATTAAAAAACTGGCTTGTAAACTAAGAAAAACAACAAAAATTTATCATTACCAGGGAATAAATAAGGAACACTCCAAAATCACTTGCATGGTTATTTTCCAGCTGTCGTCACACTTAAATTTTTTAATCAATGCATATGCAGATAGTCTTCCCATCCTTAAGGAGAAAATGAGTATGAGGCAATACAAGATCAGTATTGTAATACTTTTTTTTTTTAATGGTGCAGACTGTAATTTTCTGGCCAGAGGAAATGTTCCCAAAGCATGACACACTGCACCTTTGAATCTTACACCTCCAGAGATAGGACAGAACCAGCCCAGCAACTGTAGCTGTAGGGATCCAATTCCAGGGAGGATGACCTGACCTGGGGGAATTTACTGCATCTGGCTGACATCTGAACCACCATACAGCTGTCTGTGCTGCTTCTTAGGCATCTCCTGTGTTAGTGTTGTTGATAATGGTTTCAGGGAAACAGGCAGCAAACTCCAATTTCCTTGGCATGCTGAGCTGTAAGCTGGGATGACTTGGGTACTGTTTCTAGATCTGTTCAATCATGAACAAGTGTACTAGGAGCTGGCACCTTACAATCTCTCCTAAAATTAGTCAGCTCTTCTAAGAAGTCACTTCTTATAGGTTAGGGTAGGATTCAAGCCTTTGGGAGCCACATGTAATCAGAATCTCTATGGGGCACAATTTTCCGATGTCCTTTCATCCCTATAGTTGCCAGCTTTGATCAAGAAAGAGGACTTTGCCGAACTAAGGAAAAATACTAAATCATGTTCCCTTGGTCACTGGCAACAGAGTGATCCATCAACCTTTCAATCCGGTTCTATCAGTAGTATTTTTGACCAAGGTCCACCATATTATTTCAAATGAAAAGTGATGGATTCATCCTTCAACACCAGATCAAGATGCAGCCTGGTGTTAAAACTTGCAATGCACTTCAGTTGTCCGCATCAGTCTTCCTTAGATCCCACTAAGCATCTGATGACAGCAAGATGAGCACTAAGCTATACATATAACAAGACAGAGCAATTTAGCTGAAACAACAAATACAGTAATGATTAAATCAGCTTTCTCCTCCCTTAAGACTTTTATTTCCTAAAGGTGTAGCAATTACAGATACATGTAACTTGCAGCAAAACTTATTCTGCATTCCCAGAAGAGCAACATCTCTAATTCAGTCGATTTACCCCCAACATTTTGTGATGGTCGTATGCATATGGAGTGGATTTGGTGCTGATGTAGTGCTATTACCCTGACATCACTGCAAGCAAGGAACTAAAGGGGCATGTAGGCCTGAAGCACAACTCAGAGATATTTTTGCTGCACTGTAACTACTGGAGACTGCTTCCAATTACAGTGGGTTCCTATTTCTTCCCGTGGTGGCACTGGAGTAGGAACTGGTTCAGAACTTTTTGCTAAATTGGATTTTTTAATGGAAAATTACAATCTGTCTGAACCAGAAGCTTGCACTGAAGCTTTCTACTTTAAGCCCAATTCAAAATAGTTCAAAAACCAAATGTCAGATGACAAATAAAGAGAGTCAGAAGGATGGCAGCTAAAAAGACCTACCTCACTTTCCCTCTCTCTCATTTGACACAAAACAGATTTCCAGAAGTATTGCTTTGGGCATATTCAAAATGAGAATATAGGAAATCCTACCAGCTGTAGCTGAGATGCTCTTTCATCTTTTCTCTAACCTCTGCCTTTTGACAAGGCACATCAATTTAAATGGTGATGCCACTGGATTAGGATGACCCAGAACTATCATCCTGCATTTGCTCCTTCTTTTGCCATTGGCATAATTTTATCAACATATAGCAGCTTATTCTTAGGTACATGCATGCCCCTTCTGGGCCTTTTTTGTTCTTCTTCTCTTGTAACCTGTGACAGTGAAAATACTAAGAGCACTTGCTAGAAATCAGATAAGGTTCCTGCACCTTTGTCAGAGCAATCTAAAAACATCACTGAGAAACATTGCTATCTCATGCCCTGCAATGCATTTA